TCTTTACGCCATCTTTCTACTACCACCAACGTATTCGTACGTTTCTGAATCCCCCCACCAGAGATACCGAGATCATCTCCTCCCGCTTCCCTGTTTTTTTTCTGCTGCGCTCTCCCTGTGTCCCTCCCTTCTTGCTATACTTGTACTTCCGGCCGCGAGACTAACGCGAAATCCTCGCAAAACGGGAGCCACGACTCTGTAGATTATTTCAATCTTCCCTCCCAACCGCCCTTTCGCCCCCCTCCCTCTCTTTTGTACGTATTTTTAACTATCGACTCGTTACCGGCTGCCTCGCCTAAACTTCCTGCCATGCCCTCAGGAAGAAACAGCCGACTACGTGGCCGACGAAAACGTCGTCGAAACGGAAGCCACTTGTTCGTTCGTGTTCTTTTGCGCGGATTTCTCCCTTAGTTCCGCTCTTTCCCGATCTACGGAACAGTTGAACAATGTCGGTGGCATTTGATTTGAAAATCCACGCGAGAACTGCTTCGAAAGCATCGTAGAATAGAATTAAAACGGTCGCGGAAGACCGTTGCGATTCGAGCGTCGATAGATCGTTAGACTCGTACCGGAACTCTGACTCTTGTATGTTGGAGTAAAAGACAGTGGCGGCAGCGGCGGTGTGTTCTATGCGTCACGAAACATTCATGTACATACGCATATACGCGATGCATCGTCTCTCTAGCGGTCTCCCTTTGCTATACGACGTCCGTGGTATAGGTCAGTGAAGTAGTAGCTCCCCCACTACGCGACTCCTAGACAACGGGTCTACGATTGACTCATCTAGCCAGTCATACGGCGCGTAAACACGATCCACTCCAGCTGTTCTCCGCTGCTCTTTTACTCTTGATCTTCGTTCCGTCTCTCTCCTTCTTTTCCTATCGCTTTCTCCCCATTTCTTTCTTCCTATTTTACTTCTGTTTCCCTCCCTTCCCCCCTCCTTCTGTCTTACTCTCTGTCCTCCTTTGCTACTTCTGTATAACCTACGTACACGGATCCTGAGAACAACGGAGCGTTCTCTTTATTTTTAGAGGCAGCAGGAATTCGGTTCCCTGCCTCCTCATCTTTTTGCCCGTCTTGCCAGCGCTTCGTTTCCTCTCTTTCCCTTTTTCTTTAACCCTCCCTCCCTCCCTGGCAGAGCAGCTCGGAAGCAGAAAACGCTTCTCTCTCTCTCTCTTCGAATAGAAGAGGAATCGTTCAACCGCGTGGCGCGCCTCCACGGAACTACAGAGAACGACATGTAGAACGCGAGAGGAAAAGGCACAGCCGAGCGGCGGCGGAGGGTATGCAGAGAACGAGTTCCGATTTTAGCGCAGTCGCGGCGGCCTCAGAACGAGCGGCGCTATTATGCACTAGTAGCTTGATGGCGTCACCCGTGCAACCTTGGCTCGGGTCAGTCCTCTATCATACTGCAGCCAGAGTTCCCCTACCCTTCGTTCCTCGTTCTCTTTCTTTGTCAATCGTCGTCTCTCTCTCTTCCTCTCCCTCCTTCTATCCCTCTATCTCTATGTATCTGCCCATCTCTATCTTTCGCTCTGTATCTTACATCTCACTCCTGCGCTCTTGCTCTTACCCTCCTTCTCTCTCCCCTTTTGGCTCCGCTTAACCCTCTCTTTACCCGACCACTACCTCTTCTTCTTCTCTTCGCTCACACACGGCACTAGCCACACGACCAATGGCGTAAGAATACTTTCTATTTCGAGGCGTCCTCTTCGAGTTCCTTATTTTCGTCGAAGGATTTTCGTTCCACCGCAAAATTTGTTATCGTCGAAACCTACGGAATTTACTCGTTTTTAACCTCTTGCGCTGGAATGACGTACCACGCACGTCGAGAACATTTTTCTCGAACAGTTTTAAGTGTATTATTTAAATGTAACCCAGGCAAAATAAACGATACGTTTATTCTATTTCTTAATCATTTCTATCCAGTGATATCACACCGACGAGTTCAAAAGAGAAAGAAAGCGACGAATTATTGTATACGGTACGGTCACTCGTTATGGTCCGCAAACAGTTGCCAGCGCAAGGGATTAATGACGATAACAATGGCTGTCGAAAAAAATCGAAAAAAATTGAACCTACAGAATTGGTGATAGTTTTACATTTTTATTCCGTATTTTTACTACGTATTATAGCTTCGTGATTGATGTCATCGATCCGTTCTTTAATGAAGACTGTTTCACATGGGAGACAGTTTTAAAAAAAAAGTGCATCGCATTAGTCGCTGTTACGCCCATGACCTCCCCACAATGGCGCGTAAATGATGTTTCCAGTGTCCACAGATCGCGTATCCGATTTGACGGATCGCGCGTATGCTCGGTACACGTTGTGCTACGAATCACGGAATCGAGATCGATCGTGATCGCCTGAGAGAAAGAGAGAGAGAGAGAGAAAATGTAATCGAGACGAAGCTACGAGAGAGTGAGCTCGTCCTGAAGCATCAATCATCCGGTGACAGAAACGGCAAAGCACCGGCAAACGATGCTCCGTGGACAGCTATTAATAGTTCATTGCACGGTTAAGTACGATGTATACTTGAAGAAGCGCATTGCGAAAATGTCGATGCCGCGTAACGAATTAACTACTGATAGCTGTTAATTCATAGATTTTCGTCTTTCGTAAGACTGATCGATTCAAATAGAACTATCTTTGATCAGACCGAACGTGCTATAGAATTTGTAACCCACGAAAACGAGCAAGTATTATGACTCGTTCATTTTTTATCCGTTCAAATATAGATATTTTAAATTTGAGAATGACTAAAAGCATCAAATGTTTGATAAATGCTTATGATTTTTCAAATGGTAAATATAAGTGTGTTTTCAAGTTCATTCAAGAAATAGTTAATAAAAAAAAAATTAATCAAACGTGATCGAATTTCACAAACGAAGCGACTTTTCCTTCTGCAAGCAGAATGTATTAACTGAAATTAATTTTTTAATTAATTCGATGACAATCTGCTTAATCATTCGATAGTTGTAGCGACCTCTACTTCGAAGAATTTAGATCAACGACATCCATGTTCCGTCGAGATGTATATTTAATATAAACAATAGAGTATTTAAAAATAGCTATTAATTTTATTATCACCATGGAAATGTTTACTGCCACTTATATATATTGTAGCCATA